GAATTGAACCAAATGTGATTTACGTTTCCCTAATGAAAAGTTTAATTAACGACGGAAGTTGATCCAGACTTGGAGGATTTGTTATTCATGAGATGCGCTTTTGATGAGATGATTCGGGCTTCGGTGAATCACGTAGGAATTCCTTCGCGGAGAAAATAACTGGATTTCGTGACTGATTGGATACGTCGACCGGACTATGCAGTTTGTCGTTTTCCGGACAAAAAAACGTTGCTTAATTCGAAGTTTGCTAAATGGACACAAACAGTTCCATTTTTTCAAGAATGTATCGATGCAATTTTTATCCAGAACTATTCGGATTTGTATATCGACGGTGAAACTACCAAACCACGTATCTCGGTTTGCGACGTCGCAGACTTCCTGTCATACTTTATTTTTTAAATGGAAAACTACTTAACGTCCAGTCTTGAAATTTTTTGTGATTTTTCCTCTTCGTGCGGAGAAAATTCTGGGAAAATTTCAAGGAATGATATTGATTTAGTCTACTTCAAAAAAATAAAATGTGAGCGTAAATTTTTAAACACCGCAAACGAGATACGTGGTTTGGTAGTTTCACCGACGATATGGGATTAGAAGAAAAATCCGTGAAATTTTCAGTTTTGGAATGTCCGAGACACTCCAGGTAAGAATTTCATTTATACAAGAGAGAATTCGGCAACATTGAAATGAACAGCATTTTGCAATTTGAAACTACAATTTCTGGCTCACTTTAGAGACAACGTATGTACCATTAGTTACCCTATCTTCATAAGTGTTTTTACGGATGAGCTGTAAATTGTAATTCCTAAGTGCAAAATTTTGTCCAAATGTGGTGACGTTCTTTTGTAATGGAAACGACGAAATGCTATCATCAGTGTAGTAGCACAATGTTGATCAAAATAGACTGATTTGCCAAATTCTAAATGTTCTGGAGAAACGCTGCGCTGGTTTGGTGAACCGCAAAAGCTCTGGATTACGTTAAGAATAAATGAATGAATGAATAAAATTAAATAGGGTAAGCTAAGTGAAGAAAGTAGTTTTTTTAAGTAAAGAAATGAAGGGCTTACGTGAAATTCTGGAATGTTAATGAATGGATGCAATATAATTTAATATATAAAACGAATTCAAGCCACTAGATCGGATGCGATTACAATGCAAATGGCAATTGGCGATGGTCGAATTAAATATGCAATTTGGATCCATAAATGAAATTCGCATTGGAGGAGGGTATACAATCAATGCCGAAAATTCGTAAAGAAAATAGGAACGTGAATATTTTGCATACACCGAATCAAAATGATTTATGAACTCAAGGTGGTGCAATGTTCTTCATTCAACTAAACCTTTAAAATAGGCACATTTTTTACGTATCAAAAATTGTGAAGAATTCGGGAGGTAAATTATTTTTATTTGCGAAGATTTGAACTGTGTTTTTCTACGTCCCAAATTGTGCGCACAGTTAACTCCTCGATTTTGCAAACAGTTTTCGATCGGCAGCAAATCAAGTGATCTCCAAGGCATCACGAAGGGACAGACTGACTTTGATCGTGGCATAATCACCATTTTTTAAAGAAAACTCAAAACTGATTTTTCTTACGGTTTATTTTCGTTTATTAAGTGGCAGGTATGAGGTACAATCCCAAGCTTTTAATGAGCTGGTGAGCTGTTCACACTACCATGAGGAGTTCCACGTTCAAATATGAACTCCAAGTCTCATTGATGGTATACGAAGTAAGTCCGCCTTCAAATGAGAGTATAGGCAAAACGGACTCCCAGGAGCTGGAATAGTCGTGTCCAATACCGACAGGAGTCTCCGCGAGTTTATGATATCGCCTCGCCTCCCGACACCAAAATGACCATCTCAAAATGCGACCTATCTCTCTGTCCTCCACTTAAGTGCTTGTCGGGGACGATGAGGACTGATTCAGCAGTATGAAGTGTAGAGAATGTGAACAAGAGCAACCTCACAAAATTATTGAGAGTTTCAGGTCCGATACTGGGTAGCTCTAAGCTCAGCACTCGAAAAAAAGGTCGCTTGGAACTAGAGTCCAGACTCTTAAAAACGTTGACAAGAAAAAATACTCTTGATTCAATCGGACATTTTGCTTAAATCAAAAGGAAAGCCGCCTAAATCAAGAGGCTCGGCTCTTCGATTCACGGAAAATCTGATTGAATCAAGAGTGTTTTTTCTTGTAAATATTATTAAGAGTCTGGACTCTAGAGATCCAAGCGACTTTTTTCTCCAGTGAGGTATAAATGATACAGCTAAAGCCAGGATTATGACAGACTTCAGGACCCAACCTGATAGACATTTCGACACAATTAAAATAAAAAATTCGAATTCCTACGAACGAAGTGTTAATTTGAGGACTGACAATTCTCCAAATTTGTGTCACAGTAGCTCCATGAATTTCACTGCACTATCACAATAGCATTGGTCGGAGTTGCCTTTTTTTGCAGTGCGTCGATTTCGGGCAGAGGTACAAAATTTCATGGAACTGTGAAATTGAATTGTTTAAAACCTCTGAAACGGACGCAGCAAATCATGAAACGCCAAGAAAAAGTAAAAACTTAATTTTGAGAGAGAAAAAAAAATCAAGAATCAGATTGTGAAGTTTCCTAACGAGTTTCGAATGATTGTTGATGGTTATATACGCTGCACTGGAAAAAAACACATTGGATCCAGAGTCCAGACTTTTAAAAACATCGACAAAAAAAAAAATGACTCTTGATTCAATCAGATTTAAGCTTAAATCAAGAACCAAGCCTCTTAATTTAAGCGGATTTCCTTTTGATGCAAGCTTAAATCTGATTGAATCAAGAGTCTTTTTTCTCTTCAATGTTTTCAAGAGTCTGAACTCTAGATCCAATGTGTTTTTTTTCCAGTGTGTCCCGTTGAAATTTACTGGAAAATGGAATTAAATTTTTTCCCGAAACGAAATTTCACGGGGAATTTCATTCAATTGCGTTTTGCATCTTACGCAACTTAAGTTGGCGCACTGGCAACGACGACTCTGCGTTGAGACAGACCGTAGGAGTGTAGCACTGTGGCAGACTTCTAGGATTCCGCATCATAAGATAATGCTGTTAAGCCGTAAGCGGTATGCATAAGCATCTTGAGGAATAGCCCTGTCTCGTGGAGAAGAGCCACCTCATCTATCGCCATTATTTTTCCACCCCAGGGATGTATCCCTCGCCTGGTGCCCTCGCACGCCCTGCCCTCTCCAGCCCGTCTTGACGACGCCGTTCCTTCGATCCGTGCCTTCCTTGCCTCGCTCCTCAGTTCTGTGCGCTTTGCATCCCTTCAACCCTTCGCTGTTGCCTACCGAACAACCTCACTGCGCCATTCTCGCTACCTCCCAAGTTCCACGTCCAATATCTCTCGCTTAACACCTTTTAAGCGCTCAGCCGATAGGGAGCGCATTTTGATTTCAACCTGCCTCTCGAATAGTACACTGAAAAAGTAATCTCGGTGTATTTACTAAGAAAAGGGTAAAATTACCAAGAATTCAGGGTTCTATTTGACCCCAGTTTTTTCTTGGTAAAATTACCATTTATGGAATTGGTAATTTTACCGAAAATCTCGGTAAAATTATTGAACTCTCTCGGTAATTTTACTGGACCTTGGTAAAAAAGCCAATATTTTTTATCGACCGTGGTGGAATTACCGAGATAAAATGGCAAAGTTACCGGGAATTGATTACCAATAAAAGTGGTATTCTTACCCGAAAAAAACAGCAAAAATACCGGTTTTTAGGTAAGCTCACCAGTCTGTCTTGGTAAAATTACCAATAATTGGTAAAAAAGTGAGATGGTAAAGGTACCAACGGACCTTGGTAAAAACGCCGAGAATTTTGTTTCAGTGTAGTAAACTACGAGTAGTTGCAATGCGTTTTGATTACGCACCAGCTAAACAAAAACATGACGGAGAAGGGCCTAACATATTTCACATAGGTTAATCTGAGATACCTTTTATCAATGTTTCGAGGTCAAAGGTCAAAGCGCGAAGGACAAAAATCGTTTTTCTATTATTTAATTTTTCAACGGTTGCGTACAATTTCATAGATCCTATTCGATAGTGGTTCGATGTATCGTTTGGCTCAAAAGAATAGAATATAACCTGGAACAAAATTTTAGGACTTGGATTGGAAAAGCTGAAAGTGAAAAAATTCCTGAAAATTTCACTCCTCGTTGCCATTTTGTACTCATGAGTATCAAAAATCTTTCAGAAAAAACCCGTTCCCTCAGATTACTTTCAATTGACTTTTGAGGCTATGTTACATGCCTGTTGAACCAATGTTACATTGTTGAACCAATCGATTTCGATACAATCTCACCTGTTTGATGTATCAAATACGATCCATTGAAAGTTGAAATTTTAGTGAGAGAGTTCTTTCATCTCAACGGTGCTCAATTGCTCATCTTTTATGGGGAACTTAGAAACGCGCCTACATAGAAAACAGCTGACCGCTTCTCTAATACGAAAGTAGAGCTCTCCTGCTTGTTTTTAACATGAACTATTTTATAAACTGTGCAACCTTTACTCAGCTTGCATGTTGTTCATTTTGCACCTGTTCCACTTTAACGAGGTGATTATTGAAACTAATGTCAGGCAATTGTTCAATTGTTCATAGACAAAGACAAAAAGGATAAAACAAAATTGGAGCGATCCTATTGATGGAAGCGAGAAGCGTTCTTTTTTCATCCATCAAACTTGGGTTTGCCCATTTATTTTATTTATTCGTTTCATTTTATTTATTTTTTCGCGGAATTTGATATACTGAATGATAACATTGATGAATGTGCGAAGACGATGATTGACAATCCTTCAAGATTGTAAAAGATAGTAAACTCGGAACGTTACGAATTAAGGTGGTTTTGTGTAATTTCACCTCTTCGCTTTTTTCAATCATTACTAATCAATAACTTGTAAATATTAATTTAGTCGGAGGATGGAGGGGGAGGGGGAGGGTTTATACAGTCGTCAAAACCGCACGATATCATTTATTTGATTGTTTTTATTTCATTTCAATTTCTCGATACATCGCACATAAGGAATTTGATTGAAAATGCCACATTTTCACCAGGCGATGAAAAATACATTAACAAATCGTACTAATAAAATAAAAATTCAGCTTCATGTCGGTCTTAATAAAGTAAAATTCAACACTTGACAATTGATTTGACTTTTTATCTTTGATGGAGACAAAAATATTTAACAAAATAAATAAATAAATAAATAAATAAAAAATCTTAATCGAATCAAAAGCAGCTCAATTAGCACAGCAGCAAGAATTAATATCTACATAAAGTCAAACCTTGATGTGCCATTCAATAAATTTCTAATCACTTAAATAAACATTTTAAATGAGCTGTGGGTTTTTCACCAAGTGTGAGAGGATTTTTTCCCCCATGTAATTTTACGATCAAGTTGAGGAATATGATTCTTAAACAAAATTCAAATCTTCTTGGTATTTATTTCAAATCAAGATGGGTTGGATTTAGCGTGTTATAAATCTTCAACTCTTGATCGATCATTCCATCTTGAAGCGATACTATGATCTCGGATTATCAGGTCAAAATCTTAAAACCTCCGCTCTTGGATAAATTTTTCGACTGGTCCTCCGCCTAGAGTTTAACTTTTCAATATTTTGAAGATAAATACACGGTAACTGGTTTCTTTCCATGGACAAAATTCGTCTGATTTGTTTTTATTTTCCTCATTTTGTTCAGCTCCTCATTGATGAAAGGGAGAACCTAGAAAGCAAAAATATTCATAAATTAATCTTCAACTAAGAAAGCTAGCAGTTTAGCTGATATATCGATTTGGTCTCTTGACAAAAATAATCCAACATAATTACCTATAAATAATAAATCATTTCGATAAAACATGCTAGATTTCAAGATTTTCTCAGGACTTGTTTGATGAATTTATAATTCTAGTATGCGATGAATTCGATGTCTGAAATAAGTTAGATCATCCGAATTTCAATCGCATTTGTCCAGTTTGCATCTGTTAGACCATGTATAATTTCTCACTTATTCAGCTCACTATCTTGAAAAAGTTCGCCTAATTTAAGCATTAATCAAATGTAGATACGAGCTCATTAGCCTTAGTTTCATGTGAAGGTATGCGTCTATACCTGAATAATATTAATCTTGAATTAATAAAATTGTAATTGATACGTCAGGATTGCTTTGTATACTGGTAATATAATAGCTAAGCAAATAAACTGAGTACATTTTCACCTTTTTGCGCGCTTTGTAAATACGCTTATGAAGCTTCGTGATGTTAGTAGTCGATGGCCAATTACAGTTGGGGCACGAAAATTGTTTATTTCCTGTTGTGGGTTTTTTAAACTGAAACGACGGTGCACTAGATTTTGTGTCATGTTGAGTGACAAAAAAGTAGGAGACTAGCAATAGAACATAACACCATAGCATAGCTAAATTATTATCACAATTATTCAATTACTCAAAATAACTTTTGTGTTTTGTCTACGAGTCGAAACCAAATGCAGGTTATGATGTCTGCAAGGTGGCAGCGTGTCCAGAAAATACAAAATGAGAGAGGAAAACTAACTACAGTTGATTATCAAATCAATTCTAACTTTGAAATTGATTCCAACCAAAAATGTGATATCACTAAGTCGAAGGATAGGAGGATGGAGGCAACAGCTGTCTTGGCTTGTGATCTGCTACCCAGGAGAAAGGAGAAAAGGTTTCAAATGATTCCAAAGTAAATGTGTCGTTTTAGGCAATTGGTCGTATTCGATAGTGGTTTGATGTAACGTTTGGTTCAAAATAATAGAACATAACCTCAAACAAACGTTTAAGGATTTTATTCGGGAAAGTTGGGAAAAGCTGAAAATGAGAAAATTCTAACAATTTGACTTTTCAATACCTTTTTTTTTTTTTGGTGCTCAAGGGAATAAAAATCTATCACAAAAGACCGGTCCCTTCAGATTTCTAAATTGACTTTTGTGGCTATGTTTACATGTTGAACTTATCGATATCGATACAATCTCACCTGTTTGATGTATCGAATACGATCTATACTCCAACGTTGAAGTTTTAAACATGTTTTATTTAGTTGATATCAAGTTGTAAAACTATGGCACAAATATTAATGTCGCCGAAGGCATACACAATACACATCCCTCCCACCATCTCCTGAATACTGTTGAAGAACAAGCAATTTGTCATTTTTGCATGAATTCATTTCAACTATTCCTAAAATGTAGTTACTATAAACGCAACTCTAAAAAACGATTAGAATTTTTGTGCACCATCTCAACCTTTCGACCTTGCTACTATCAAAATTAATAGGTAATCAAGCATGTATCCTTATACCTTTTTTAAGGTGTTGGCTGCGAACGCATTATTTATGGATCCTTTTCCGTAGGTTTAAATGGCAGATCAATCGATGTATCGCAAAGCACCCCACGCCACTATACAAGCCAAAAGTTCTTCGGCTTAAGAACACAATAAAGGACTTAATCGAGTTTTTCGCTTGATATACCTCAATTTGATGTTGAGTGCTACAGGACCTGCAATGGAGATGTTGCATGTGTAAGGAATTTGCAATTTGACTATTGATTCTTATGTAAAAGTTCGCGAGAAACACAATGGTGCCACTGGTTTTCTCTGAAATCGTCTCCCAAGCTCAAAAAAAGCTCTCAAAGTGAGGCCAAAATGGAGGGGATATCCCACCCTACCCTGAGAGTCCACCTCTACATCAAAACAATCTCTCCATGCAAAGATAAGGAGCAAATACATTGACAGGGCTGCCACTTTATTTGGGGACTCCAAAACTGAAAACACGGCAACCCTGCTAATGTATTTGCTCCCTATCTTTGCATGGAGAGTTTGTTTTGATGTAGAGGTGGACTCTCAGGGTAGAGTGGGATATCCCATCCATTTTGGCCTCACTTTGAGAGCTTTTTTTGAGCTTGGGAGATGTTTTCAGAGAAAACCAGTGGCTCCATCGTGTTTCTCGCGAACTTTTACATTAGAATCATAGATCAAATCGCAAATCCCTCACACATGCAAGATCTCCATTCTTTCGCGACCAGATGAGATGGCGAGGATGGTAGTTTCCCTTTACACGTACATCTACTCAAAACGGGTGAGAGATTGGGCGAAATTGAGTTGAATGGGGCAAAGAGAGGGACACAAAGTGAGTTTCGGGGCCGAGCTCGGAGGAAAAAGCTGTGTGATTTGTCGGTAGCGGAAGGGATTGACAAAACGCGGCGGGGCGAGGGGGGAGGCAGCGAGTGTATGATTGAAGAGCGTCGTTTCCAATCAACTGTGCTAACTTCGTAACGTGCATGACGTGACTTGGCGCGCCAATCGTATTACGTCATCTTGAGGCCACGTAGCTTACTGTTGTTCCAGAAATCCTGTTTCGTTTCCCTCCTTTGTTTTATTTCCACTTGACAATCTTGTTTCGTTCCGTAATTGGCATCTAATTCGGCCGTTTGGTTTTGATGCCCGCTGAAAAACCGTCTCCACGTGAAGAGTGGAAATTCAAAACATCCTTCCGCCCCTCCTAGAGCACTGTGCCAATGAAGAACGGGCTTTCAGAAAAAATCGACTTTAACTTTGGCCCGACTGCAGCGTCTTATAGACTGGTCCTACGTTCATCTTCATTTTTTTCACGTGTGCACATCAATTTCTCTAGTAATTTTGTATAAAATTTATGTGACTAGGATACCATTTTGGTGGCCAGACTTTTTACCCGGTTTTGTTTGGTCCAAAGTTTTTGTGGTCCATTTTTAAGTGTGTCTGATAGTTTAGAGGAAACATCAAATTGAACAAAAATTAAATATCAACACAGCTGAAGATAGGAGATACGTTTTTGGGTTTGGTTTTTTTAAGTTTTGGTAACAAACCAGAGCGACAGTTCATTGGCAGCCTAGAGCGGATCATCGCGAGCACACGCCTCACGCCCTAGCGCCTTCAATTTTGCAGATACAACACGGACATCCATCAAGTACGAATAGTTGTATCCTTGCGCCGTCATGAACGCGCGACCTTTCCCTTGCTCTATTTCCACGGTGTGTTGGTTCCGTCTGTCTTACTTGTAGAAGTGCTTCAAGGGCTACGTTAGCAAAACAGCCGAAAATAGGAGAGATGTAATCTGGCCTTTTTGAGCTCGCCCACTCGGGAGAGCTCTTTGCGATCGATTTCTTTTAGCATTGGTAGTGTCCGTGGCGACGAATGGATGGTTCTCGTTGCCGTCGGAGGAATGGCCAAAATCCCATTGATTTCAAGGTCTAAAAGTTGAATTTTCGCGGGTTACAGTTTTCCTCCGTCGAACATTTCCGTTCCCTCATTCAACTGAGGATTAATTGTTCCTCGTTTGCTACACTAGAGAGCAGCACTTTCCAGTGGCCGAGCATATCATAGCATGTTGCTATGGTTTTATATCAAATAAC